AAAAACGCACAAGAAAAACTAAAAAAAAATCTAAAAAATATTTTAGATTCCATTTTTTTCAATTTTTATTTGCACACTCGAAATTCATTCCAAAATGGATATTTACGTGAAGAAAGTAATACTGTAAAAATCTACCACGCCAATATTTAATTACTTTACTACGGGGCGTATACGTTACATACGCAACTACGGGTCAGCGCTGCCGTTTTATATTTTTTTAAAACAGTAAAAAACATAAATTTTGTTCGAGTATTTTGACGTTTTGGGGAGCAGTAGTAGAAACATTTTCTAAACTTAAGGCCACTCAATGTTGTAAAAAAGTAGGTGTTTTGTAGAGTGAGATGGAAATGATTGGGGCAGAGATCAGACGTGTTTCATAATGTCAAATGATAGTACCCAGTCTTAGCTATTTCATGCCGTATTCTTTGCAGTCCTCAAGAACAGTGACAACATGATGGAAAATAGCTGAGGGGCATTGGACCAAGTGCGCACAATTTATTCGACAGCCTTTAAAGCAAGTACTTCGAAACTAAACAATGGAAGTCTCAGCTAAATCATGTTGGTAAATATAACAAACTTATTTTAATTTAAGTACTCATAAGTAACAAGTCACATGGGAATATCTGCTGATTTGGTTACAAAGGATTCAAGTCACGTATTTATTAGCCCATAGCCAGTGCTACAAACTCAGTAATGACTGGAAGGCTTCGAGGGGCTGCTTCATTAAGCACGTAGGATAGCAGACAACTTTCGGAATTAAAAAATAATGCTCACAGCGCTCAAAAGTTCTCCATGCATTTCATATGGGGGAAAAACAATTTTCTTAGAAATGGGGTAAAATTCTTGAAAATCAATATTTTCGATTGGAAAACTATGGTTCTCTTCAGGAGACTTCCAATATTAATATGTATACAATTGTTAATTTAACAATTTTTTTAATGGGAATATATATTAATTTTCAAGAATTCTACACCAATCCTACGAAAAGTTGTTTTTCCCATATAAAACACATGGAAAACTTTGAGCGCTCTGAGCGACCTCTAATTTTATTTATTTTTTTTAAATAAAAAAATAGGGGTATATATTTTTTGGTATAGAAAAATCCTAGGGGGTTGCGGCATTAAAAATCCGACCTTATTTTTTCACATACAGTTTTGGACCACTTTAATATGGATATAAACTTAAATTAAATTAATTGGCGGAATATGACATCGTTAAATTTTACATACTTTAAGGTATGAAAACCAGGACGTGTGACGAGATCTTTATTATGTAATTGCTTTTGAGCTACATGATGCACGAACTATCTAAAGTACAATTGGCGAATCAATTGGCGCAATTATAGCACTCGTCTTACGATTCGATTAATTTAATTTATCGATAAAAATGAAAGTATTAGCTTATTATAGTATAATATAATATATTTTAGGCAGTGGCGGCAAAAAACGGCTTTTAGCTTCAGGCGCTAAACGGTTAAGTAGTATATCAAGCAACATTGATGGGCCTTCAACAAGTATTCCTCCAGCGAAAGCGAAGGCTCGAATAAAGCTCAATTGAAGGCCTATTTTAAAGAAAAACGAGCTCATCTCGATGATTATCCTCTCAATTGGTAGAAAACTAAACTAAAATATGACAGATCTGGCCCGAAAATATTTGAGCGCTCCCTCCGCCAGTTGTAATATGGCTTAGGAAATTTTTACCAAACGGGCTAAGAAATCCCGCATATAGTTATACCACTCAGTGATGATTGGGAAGCTTCGATGGGATGCTTCATTAAGCAAGTAGAATAGCAGACATCTATGCGAATTTCTAAGTGGTCACTTACTGAGGCACAAACCATTGAATGCGGTTGGAATACATAGCAGCCTTATTTGCCTTTCCTGTCTTAAAGGAGATGAATCAACTTCGGGACCACCTCCGAAATTACAGTATCTATATATGTGTTCGTAATATAGCCTAAGTTCTGCTTGCACGCGTTGTATGTGCGGACCAACAAAAGAGCCTTTACCAATATAAATTCATTACGTCAGTTGTAAGTTTTAAATAATGCTGTAATATGGCTTTAGAAACTTTTATCACAACCTGAAAGGAAAAGTGTTATCGGAAATCATTCCCAGCAATCTGCTTTGGCAGCGTTTAATGTGAAATCGTTTGAGTTACTTTATACATTTTAATAACAAAAGTAAACTATCTTGCTAAATAGTAGTATAATCTGTCCTTGGGGAGAACGGGAGTATGAATGACATACTCGTAGTAAAAAACTCCAATAGTAGTAGTTTCGGCAGCACTGCTACGGGTTTATGAACATGAGTGGTTGGTTTTAATTTTTTTAGTATTTAGGTATATTTTTCTTAAGTTTTATTAAAATACAATTTCGCGATGGAATCTTGTTCTTTATACAAAACTGAAGATAATGCATTTTCTAAGAAAGGTGTACCGCCATTTTCGACCAAAAATGCGTATTTGCCGGAAAATGTAACGACTTGTGAGATTTGCTCCTATACGATTCCCATTTGTGTATGTATGTATGCATGTATGTATGTATATTTGTACTTACCTCACATTCTCGTGTTTTTGTATGTAAATTCGGTGAAATTGACCAGCAACAGGTGAGAGTATGTCATTTTTCATTTGCATCGCAACATGCTGAGGTAGAACCGACAACAAAAGTCTTTCCAGTTTCTCATTTTCATCCTGAATTTCCAAGCGGGCGGCAATACAATTGCGTGTATCTAGGAATGCACGTCGTTGGGCACGTTCCATCATAATATTTACGACCAAACCGGCAACATTAACACCGATAAACATTACAATGTTGGCAATAAGCTGTTGGTAGAGGAGTAGAATGTTGTTGAAATTTTAGAGTTTTTAATTAAAAAGGAGTGCTAACTAAGCAAGGCGCATCTATACAAGGTCGTGTTACTAGAACAGCTGATTAGATATTTTTGTCTCTACACTAGTACAGGAGAATGCCATCCAAGACGAAATGGTGTAACTTTAGGATGTCAACAAAACGAAATGGCGAAAATTAACTCCTATTTTCTTTCGTTTTGCCATCCTGATATACCAAAAAGCAATAACAAACTACACGGGATTTTTACTTATATGCAATTGACAGCACCTTATATGGATGGGCCTTGGTGCTAAGTACGTACTTCGATAAATGAGATCAAAAGAAAGAAATATATGTATATGTATGGGTTGTTTTCTTTCTTATACATACATACGTATTTATTTCGGTGCATTTGAGTAGTATCTAACTAACATACGACTATCGAATTCTCCTATCGAATAAAATAACATAAAAATGTATAGCTTTACCTGATTATATTCCAAGTAACGAAATGAATCCGTAATAATTTTGTACACCGTTAAACTAATATGCACTGAGGGCAAAACAATACCAAAGCAAACTGCTTCCCATATTTGTAGTGGCATCATGGCGTATGCCAAAAAGACAACAAAAACAATTTGCCACACACCTTCGGCCATGACCTGCAAATAAGAAAGTAAGTGAGGAAAAGTTATATTTATAAGTTCGCATGTACTGGCATAACGAGATACATATGTGCATATAAAAACGTAAATTAGTTTTAATTAATTACGAGCCAAATATGAGCAAAAGGGGTGACCAGAAAACTAAAAAAAATGCCGGTGAGCCAATTATTCACGGGGATAATTCTTGCCCTGCCATATTCTGAATTTTAGTAAGTTACACGCTTTACTTCAATTGATTGATATTTGTGAAGATAAGGGAGGATATCACTATCAGCAAACATGGGAGATCAGTTAAGAGAATCTTATTTTTAAATCGAATTTTTCGTGGCCTTTGAGGTTTGGGCATGGTTATTGGTTCATTTCTTAGTCATATTTATAAAACTATGCTTAAAAAAGCATATAGTTTACACGAATATATATTGAAAGCAAAATGATTCTGTTTTGCAAAAAATGCAGAACTCGCCTTATCCCGAAAACATTCTTCCTAACGCATAACTTTCTAGACGTTTGCAAATATTTTGCCCCATTGCGACATTTTTCAAAATTTAACAGCGGGTCCCGCGGTATCTAAAATCTAACACTACGAAGAATTCACATGTCTTTCAAATTATAAAAAAAAAAAATGTGAAAGGACGGGCATCTTTCGGTTATTTTGTGTTCCTTTGCTGTTCGTCTTCGTCTCAATAAAATATAAAAAAATGCATATTCCTTACATCGTTGTAAAGGAAGATTTTCTGAATGTGCGGAGGCTGAGGTTTTATCGGAAGTGTCGGGAAAGGATTTTGGTTCCGTCATCCCGCCCGCAAAATTTTTACAGACCTTTCCGATACTGCCCATCCCGGCCAATTTGAAATCAGTATGGTGGGTTCCGAGGGTCCCGATATCATACGCCCATCTCTAGTGGGCAATAATGATAACCATTAACTCGACTAGGTATAGGTGGCGTTGGGGTATAAGCTCAACAAAATTGTACAAATGAAAATTCAGCTAATAGTTACATACATGTGTATATAGTACTTATCATAACTTTACAACACTCAAATATTGAGAAAAATTGACTATTTATTTTATTAGTTTTTAGTTTTAATTATTTGCTTATAAAAATATAGTTTGCTTTCTAACAAAAGCCTTGAAAATCCAGGTTACTGTAATCATACAACATTTAAAAAAATCAACAAACTTTCGGAAAAACGACGAGCTTTTAATATTTTGAGTATACAATTTTAGTAGTTATAATAAAGTGTAATGCCGTTTTTTTCTATCGAAAAATGCCTACTAAGTTTGAAGCTAGTACTTGTTGTTGATTTTTGGTATTTTGTTTTGTTGACGATGTCAGTTATTTTGTTCTTACTATGTATGTTTGTATATTCCTCGATTTCTTATATGAAGAAAATGAGCAGGATCTGAAAGAAAAAAATACTAATAATCAACGGTAATGCCGAATTTCCACTAGGCATTGAAATGGCGAAAAGTGTATGCCATTCAAAAAAATGCCATGTGGAAATGAACTTACTGACAATTTTTTTAATGCAATGGCACGTTTATTTGTCAAATGTTAACATGCCATGACTTTGTCATTTGCCATTTTTGCCATTTAATGCTTAGTGCAAATCACTACACTTCACTTTACTAAAATTGAATGGACTATAAAGCTGCATACCTAAAATACATATATACCAATCCTAAATATAAACACCCTAGAATGTGTTAGACAGATGAGTGAAAATGATTAGTAATACCTTCCTGTTCATACCTGCCAACCCGATAGGTAGGCCAGGAGAGAAATAGACAACCCAACACACATTATATGGGCATAATACCTTCGATTGGTGGTATATAATTTGTGCATTAAAAATATTAGTGCAAAATTAAAAAAAAATATTACTAGAGTTCTCTATTTGATGCGAAACTGTGTGCGTTTGAGCGAAAGCGCAAAAATTGGCGGTTTTTTACAACAAACATATGGCACCGTTATGGCGCCGTTTTGCACAAACGCACAGCAAAGCAACGAAACAAACTCTAGTTTTTGCCTTTCGCATTTTCGCATCAAAGAGTGAACTCTTCTAATAATTTTTGAATATTTAATTAAAAATGCCCTGATTATGATTTTTTCAGCCAAATTACTCACGAAATATTTACTGACTCGTTAAATTTCATACAAAATAGATTTCATCCATTAAACATATGGGTGAAGGTCGTACCCTATTCGGATCTTACACTAAATACTCCACGAAGATTGAAACTTGGACTTATACGTTTTTTGTTAAAGAATAAACTATGTTTTTATAAACAAATAATTTAAATTAAAAAGAAATATTTAAAATAAAAGGTCAAATCTTGTCAATGTGTGAATAACGTATAGTTATGATAAGCGCTATATGTACATATGTTTATGAGCAAATCTTACGAGTAGTTATTTTTAGCGTCACTCCTTTCTCTCCAAAAAAAAAAAAAACTTTAGTCTTCCTCTTGCATTTATATTTGCATTTTTTGTATTTGTATCAATGGAGTTACAGAAACAACAGAAATAAAAAATTAATCAAGGCTTTGAACAACTTTAGCATTTTAGCGAAAAAGTACCCAAATTATGCATTTTTTCATTGTTAATCTGCCCATCTTGAGTTTCGCCTGAAAAAAATTCACCCGAAAATTTGTCACGCGCCCATAGTAAAACCATGGAAACTAAGAGCGAAAAGTGAACCGTTTCGGGGAAAATGAAACCTATGATAAACCCTGAATGTTTTAACTTTAAATGTTTTTTCTTTAAGGATGTTGGCATCAAATACAACATATCTGTTAAGTTTCAAGAGTGTGCCACTAAATTAAAAAAATGGCAGCATGCAGAATATATGCCGCAGCTATTTTGTAACTTTTTTAACGACTTTTTCATTTTGAAGTTTAAGATTACTCAGTACTTCTTCGAAACAACAAAAAAGTGGAATATTGAGTTTATTAGTAATCGCGGTGCATTTGCCCTAAAAACTTGTATTTGGACCACATATGTGAATCAGGGTTGTTGCGAATGTTCGCATTCGCATTCGCATTCGCAACCGCGGAGCTTCCGCATTAATTTTAACATTCGCATTCGCTTTCGCATTCGCAAAAATCAATGCGGGTGTTTTGCGAATGCGAATATTGAAGGGACCGAAAATTGCAGTTATTTTTTTACGAGTTAAACTTGGCCAAATATTATTTATTCCGAAATAAAAGTACTTTCCGGATAACAAACAAACCGCTTATCCAAAGTAAACAAGTTTGGTATCTAATGAAAGAGGACTTAAATAGCTTTAAAACTGAAGTGTCTAAAAGAAGAAAGCCACTTATAATAATAGATTGGTGCTTACACATATGTTAGTGTTTGGCCGAGCTTTTCCTCCGACTTGTGGCGTGCGCCTTGATGTTGTCACACAAAGCGAAGGACCTACCGTTTTACGCCGACTCTGAACGGCGATTGTATTTTTATGAGAAGCTGTTTTTCATTGCATACAAAAAATATTAGGTCAAATTTAACTCGGAAAAAATAACTGTTATTTTCAATCCCTGGAATATTGTGCAAGTGTACAGACGTATATCTAACCAGTCACAGAAGAAAGCATTAAAAATTAGTTACAAAAACTAAAATCGAAAAACGCTGATGACGTGCCAAATTCCAAAACAACCACAAGAGTGAGAATGAAGAATTCTTTCGAAAAAAACGGTGTTTAAACAATGATTGTGCCATGATGCTAGATTTTGAAGATGAAAGTCAAGAGGATATATCCCACATTTGCAGCCCCGATGAAATTCTCAAAAAGTAATTATTGCACCGCAACAAAAAGAAATAAATATAACTGAAAGCTCTATCAATTGGTGCAGTGTCAATTGAAAAGAATTTACAATTTTGCCAAGTTTCAAGTTTTTCAAGTTTGTCGCCTCGAGCGAGTATAGTGGCGCAGGTTTGATTTACGACACTTTAAAAAGTTTTTATCAAGTACAATGTCCCCATTTTTAAATTTAAGTACTAAAAAAACACATCATGAGTTTAATTTTCCCCGAACCGGTTCACTTTTCTCTTTTGGTTTTCATGTACATATTTACTATGGGCGGAATAAAAATTTTCGGGTGAACTGTTTTTCGGGCAAAATTCAGGATAAGACAGATTATTAAAAATTATTAACCTTTCCATTTTTTATTTACCTAAATCACCTAATTTACCCACCTAAATTATTTCTTAAAAATACATGACATCCGCATTCGCATCCGCGGATATCTAAAATTTCACATTCGCAACATCCCTAATCTGAATGATCATAACAGTTGTGTGCAAAATTTTAGTAAAATAACTTTAAAACTGAGGGAGTTATTAATAAAATTGTTAAAAATTAACAATATTTGCAACTGCCGTTATTTCGAAAACAGGAGCAGAAAACATAGCTGTGCTCACAAATTAAAAAAATTAAGATTTGCCCCTATACATATGCATATATGTACATTAGACTGCATCACCAAAAAAAGTTGCGGTTTTTCCACCGGGATTACAAAATTTATTATATTTAAGACGTCCACCAAAATATTTCGGATAAATATTAAGATTTAAGCGAGCTGGACCGATTTGAAAATACCTCCAAAAATGAAGTTTTTTATGAATAAAAATAGTTTCTTAAAGAGCTTTTTGAAAAAAGTCCCCTCAGATCACAAATCAGATTAAGCTTAAAAAATCTGCGTAAAACTATTTAAAAATCTTTTCAACGGAATCGTAAGAATGAGATTTTTGATGCTGTTTTTTTACTTTTTTCAAAGATTGGTTTACGAAAAACTTGAATAACTGGGCCAAATATGTTCTGATTTAGGCTAATGGGATCTCAGTAGAAAGTTATTTTCACACTGTTTTTATTTCTGGCCAAAAAACGTCATTCGTGTCCCATCTTGTTTTTTCGAATACCAACACATCTTAATTCAACTTTGAATGAAGTTCGTTCATCCTACCTCTCTCTTCCATCCTTTGAATGAGCTTATTAGCAAAGATATAAAAAGGGTGAGAAAATACCTTTCCAATGACACCTCTTAAGTCTAAATCGGAAGAGTTTAGGTTCAGTTATTCAAGTTTTTCCTATACCAATCTTTGAAAGAAGTTCAAAATTTAAAAAAAAATTTTTTTTAAATATTTTTATGCAAATATTTTAAGCTTAAACCGCTTTATCATTTAAGGGAATTTTTTCAAAAAAAAAATCTTTAAGAAACTATTTTTATTCATAAAAAACTAGATTTTTGGAGGTATTTTCAAATCGGTCCAGCTCACTTAAATCTTAATATTTTTCCGAAATATTTTGGTGGACGTCTTAAAATATAATAGATTTCATAATTCCAATGGAAAAATAGTACCGATTTTTTTTGTATGGGGAGTGATGCAGCCTAATGTACATAATTGAAAGTTTTCATATCGAGGGCTATACTCAAAACCTGCTATCAGCGATTTCCTCAAAAAGTACTTTCTGAAGTTAGAATTGGTCTGAAGCTGGGATCCCACGATTGCCGCAATACACCAATTATTGCCTCATTTTATGCCCCAATCGTGTGATTTCACAATACATTGACACATGCGGCAATAGAGGCCGATATTGTGCTTACTGTGCCCAATCAAATACGGCCCGTGTGCGGCAATCGTGTGATAGCTCGATTGGCAATCATTCAAAATTGCGGCAATATTTATTGTATTCTTGTGCGGCAATTGAAGTGAACAATACACATCAATATTTAGGCTGTTTATTAATAATTTACTTTTTTGCTTCCTTATGTGTCCAAAAATCACTGAAATTAATATCCTTGCTTTCGGAAGCAACATAACTTTTAATTTAATTTGTAGTGAAATTATAATTTTTCTTGAAGTCCGATAACGGAATCCTTGCCGCAATATATACCACCACAAGCAAAACTCATACGAGAAGTATACGAAAGGTATTTTATGTCACCAAATGGCGGACTGCCATGACAGTATAAATTTATTAAAAAAAAAAAACTTAAAAGTTCAATACAGCCCACGACAAAGCAGTAGAACCTCAACATTTTGACCAGTCTTGACTATTTTTCTTCTGCTTATTTAATCTTCATATTTTCGTATAAAAGTATAACTCATTGTCTAACAAAAACTGCATAAATCCAAATTGCAAGCTTTATACAAAAATTATAAAAATTTCTTAAACTTTTGAACACAATCCCACGGTTTATAATTTGGATTTCTAGAAAAAAATGGTTATTTAGTTTTGTAGCTCATTAAAATTTAGTACAATAAGGTGGAGGTTTGAAGTTGCTAAAAGATCCTGTTGATTTTTTATAATTTTTTTAGCTGACGGTATTATGCACTTTCTTCTCTGTAAATTACTTTGTAAACTGCAAAACAAAATTTTTTCTAGAAACCCAAATTAAAAAACCATTGAATTGTGATCAAAATTTCAAGAAATGTTTATAATTTTTGTATAAAGTTTGGAATTTGGACTTATGTGGTTTTTGCTAGACAATGAGCTATGGTTTTATAGGAAAAAATTAACATTAAACAACAGAAGAAAAAAGTCAAGACTGATCAAAATGTTAAGGTGCTATCTTTTGTTGCGAGCTGTACATATAATTATAAAATTTAATTCCAAACATAAATTATGTAAATTCGCAGCTTTCATTTAAACAAACATAACTCTTTTGTACCAATTTTACTTGTAATGAATAAAAAAACCTCTACGTAACAAAATTAAAAAGAAAACTGTTGCAACTTGAACTCCACATAGCACGTTGCAGTTATCGTCGAAAACTAAAAAAACTATACAATCAAACTTCTAAATAAATGCGTGAGTTTTCGTTGGGCACAAGTTTTTGCTTCTTTGCTTTCAAACAACAACAAATTTGCACAAAATAAGCCCGCAATATACAAAGCAGATGCAATTGATTTATTTTTTTTTTATTAAGAATACGCCATTTTTACACAACAGAGAAAAAAACAGAATTTAGAGGTCAGCGCAACACTTTATGGTCACAATTGCCGCATGCTCGAACAATCGTGTGATAAGTTTGGGGCAATTATTGTCACTATATTGCTTTTCGCCAACTTACGGCAATGAGAATTGTATAAAAAGAGGCAACCGTGTGACTGTACAGAATTTCATTGGGACAATTTTTTTATTGTGCTCCAATACAGCACAATAAAAATTGTTACAGATTGGTCCATTTGCGGCAATCGTGGGATCTCAGCTTGAGACTTAATTTTCGTCACTTAAGTTGAAGTTGGCCATAATCGCTTAAGTGTTAAAGCGGTAAGAAATTGTGAAGGGAAAATGTTCTCTTATGAATAAGTTGAGAATTTCAAGGTGTTGTAAAAATTTGAAACATAGCTTATTTAACAGGCTCACTGGCAATACTAGGCCTCTTAGAGAGTTTGTGAAATTTTCTTAATTTTAATACACCGTAATATTAATTGCTTTTGAATCGAACCCTTTTGCAAAAATGAGAGTTACTGGCGTTACATACAGAATTATACATAAATACTACAAATTAGGTTTATTTATTACTTACTAAAAAAAAGTATGCTCAAAACAAGACATCGAGCTCAACAATTCGACTTGCATAAAAAGGCACTACTGTTTGATTTATTTGAAATTATGTATGTTTATATGTAAATACATAAGTATTTTATTACTAATCTTTAGACAATTATTAATTACTTGTTGAAATTTTGTTTAATGCAAATTAAGCTAGCAATAGCATCAACAAGTAAACAAAAGCTGAAGCCATTACAAGTCAATAACTTTCGCTTTAAAAAGATATATATCATTACCTCAGACTCTTTCTGTAAAGTGAAATAAAAGTAGAAATAGTCAAAACGCCATTGACCAAATTAAATTTGGGAAAAAAGGTATGACAATTTAAATTTTTTGTTTATTTTCTATCTTAATTTTTCCTCCGCATTGTACTATATGGTTGCTCACCTCCTTTGTGTCCACAGGAAATACACTGCCCAGTGTTGGCATCGAAACAAAACAGATGACAGCGGCAAAGAGCAGTATACCATAGCATAGAATTGGCAGGTGATGATCCTTGATGACGCGACATTGCAGCAGAATTAGGATAATTGCAAATAGCAGGCACACAATGGAGTTGAAAATATTCTGTGGGTGACACGAAAGTCGAATGGGAAAATACATAAATGACATTAAACAAGATTAAATGGGTTAAGTAAATATACATATGCATAAATTCGAGCTTATATGTATGTATGTAAAATAAAGAAAAAGTAAGCATAAAAAAGGGACGTAATTAAGGATTACAAAATTATTTCTTGCTCCTTTATGCCTGTCTATAATACAAATAATACATTCATTTGAATTTCATTTATGTTACTTACATGGAAGGTGGGCGCATTATTGTAGGCCAATGACAGCGCCGCCATGACACCGCACAACACCACCACCAACGCAACCACGCCCAGCACTGAAAAGCGCTGCAATTTGAGCGTGTAACGTTGATAGAGGCATTCCAGTTCGTCGTTCTCGAAGCGCAGCGTATTCCATGGTCGGCCACGTGTCGCTTTCACCGCATGATCCATGTTTGCATTGCCCAGCCGCGTAGCTGGTAGCACGCGACGGTGGTGACGGTGGCTACAGCAACTAAGGTGTTAAAAGTCTGCGCAAACACAAGAGGCTCTTCGGCAATACGTAGAGGTGGGTTGATAGATTGCGAAGCGCTAAGTGCGCTTAAAGCGCCACCAAAGGCTTCTACTGCTTCTCTTCCAGTTCGCGTACAATGTCAATTACTTGTGAGGCAACTGCAAATAAAAATGATGCAAAACAAATGAAAATAGTTAATATAATTGTACTAAGAGCGATGGCTTAAGAGTAAAATTTTGTATGGAAATATACCCACTATAAATAAATATTTGATTTGCTCTTTTCTATTTGGTAATTTCCGCCTGTCAATCTGGCCCATATAGATACACGAGCCACACGGGTACATATTTGCTTGCTGCGACCAGCGCTTATTAGGGTGGTATACAAAAAATAAAGTCGGAATTTTAATGCTCTCACCCTCTAGGATCAGTGCTGCTATTTTGCTGAGCTGCACAGCGCTCAAAGTTTTCCACGTATTTTATATGAAGAAAAAAAAAAATTTCTCCTACAAATGTTATAGAATTTTTGAAAATCAGTATTTTCCGATCGGAAAACTCTCAGGAGACTTCCAATAATAATACTCAAGTTCGCCGGGTCTGCTAGTGCTAATATATATGTATTTTGAAAGCCGTTTTTTTCTCTTCGCAAAGCTCGAGATCGGCTGTACCGTTTCTTTTGAAATTTTGGTTAACCGTTGTGGATGGGCTTCTCATTGTCTTAGGCAAAAAAAGGTTTAAATACTTCTTAAAAATGGAACTGCACGACTTTAAAAATCCTATAGAATCTAACATATATACCCACGTAACAGCGCTGCTCACCTGCAAACCACAAATGAGGGCGCCCTCTGCTGTTAATTCGTACGGAATATAGCGCAAGGCAAGGGTTATGTATACATATACATATATACGTGCTAGTATAAAATAAATGACCCTGAATGACGCGTTTTGAGCGACCTTTAAATATGTTTTGATTTTGAAAAAAGACAGGGGTATATTTTTATGATACAGAACCATTCTTGCGGGTGGGAGCATCAAAATTCGGACCTTACTTTTTTCACGTGCATTTTTGGGCTACCCTAATGTATATATATTTGTAAACAAAACTTTGGCAAATCAAAAGAAATTGACAATAGAATTTATATACGAGTATGTAAATATGTTGACAAGAATAGAGGCCACTTCGTCACTGAAGGAAAGTAAAGTGGTAGATATGTATGTATGTATGTATATGAGTATAAGTAAAGGCAAGAGCTCTCGACTAACTGATTTAAGAACCCTTAGACATCCAGCTTGACGGTAATTGAACATTAATAAGAGGTTTAAATTTTTAGGGAAAACCATTTCATAGTCTTCTAGGGGTTAGTACATACAATTTAGGCTGAATTCTGATGGGAAAAGCCTTGAAAAATACTGTTTAGCTTGACTTGAAAAGCTTTCTGAGCATGTAGTTAACTTTTAACGATTTACCGTTATTTCAGCAATAGAACGAACAAGCATATTGGTCCTCAGCCCCTTGAATGCCACAAAAATGTCCTGCCATACCAGTGAATCGCGGAACTCAGAAGATCTAAACTCGATTGGTCAGACCAAGAGCGTTCGCTCTACTAACCAACACCAGTTTAGATGTTACCTAATGAGATTTGAGGACCTTAGTAGTCGCTTGTATGTCGGTCAAGATCGTAATATTCTCAGTCCGGTACTTTTGCTTGATATTGAAGTCCGCGCAACTTTCTATAGCATAAGTTTCAGCCTGCCAAAACGCAATGCTTTTCAAATAGGTTCTGAATATCCCCGGCCCAAGTACACCTTGGGCGGCGAAACACCCTGTACCCGGGTGGGTAGTTCCGCTGGTGGCAAGAGTATACAGGTAAAAAAATTGGTTGCCGATCTAATTGAAAAGGTTAACAGATTTCGTTAGAAAAACTTCATTTTTCATACATACCAGGGTTGTTGCGAATATTCGCATTCGCAACCGCAGAGCTTCCGCATTAATTTTGGCATTCGCATTCGCTTTCGCATTCGCAAAAATCAATGCGGATCTTTTGCGAATGCGAATATAGAAGGGACCGAAAATTACAGTTATTTTTTTACGAGTTAAACTTGGCCAAATATATTTTATTCCGAAATAAAAGTACTTTCCGGATAATAAACAAACTGCTTATCCAAATTAAACAGGTTTGGTATCCAATGAAAGAGGACTTAAATAGCTTTAAAACTGAAATGGCTAAAAGAGGAAAGTCACACATTGAAAAATATTTCAATAAAAAAGGTTAATTAATTACCATAGAACAAACATTGGGTCAGGTATGTATTTACATGAATTTCTTTAGTAACCTTCATTCGTTATTTCTGTTTAAAAGCTATTCAGTCCTCTTTCATTCCAAATTTGTTTAATTTGGATAAGCGGATTCTTTATTATCCCGATAGGACGTTTATTTCGGAATAAAAAATATTAGGCCAAATTTAACTCGGAATAACTGTTATTTTCGATCCCTGGAATATTGTGCAAGTGCACAGACGTATATCTAACCAGTCACAGAAGAAAGCATTAAAAATGAGTTACAAAAACTAAAATCGAAAAACGCTGATGACGTGGAAAATTCCGAAACAACCAAAAGAATGAGAATGAAGCATTCTTTCGAAAAAAAAACGGAGTTTAAACAACGATTGTGCCATGATGCTAGATTATGGGGATGAAAGTCAGGAGGATACATACGACATTTGCAGTCCCGATGAAATTCTCAAAAAGGAATTATTGCACCGCAATAAAAATAAATAAATATAACTGAAAGTCCTCTCAACTGGTGCAGTTTCAATCGAAAAGAATTAAGAATTTTGCCAAGCTTCAAGTTTTCCAAGTTTGTCGCCGCAAACGAGTAGTTATATAGTGGCGCAGGTTTGATTTACGACCCTTCAAAAAGTTTTTATTAAGTACAATGTTCCAATTTTTAAATTCAAGTACTAAAAAAACATATCATGAGTTTAATTTTCCCCGACCCGGTTCACTCTTCCCTTTTGGGTTTCATGTACATATTTACTATGGGCGGAATACAAATTTTCGGGTGAATTTTGTTTTTCGGGCAAAATTCAGGATAAGGCAGATTATTAAAAATTTTTAATCTTTCCATTTTTTATTTGCCTAAATCACCTAATCTACCCTCCTAAATTATTTCTTAAAAATACTACATGACATCCGCATTCGCATCCGCGGATGTCTTAAATTTCACATTCGCAACATCCCTAATACATACCATGAACATATTTATGTACATTAGGGCGGGTCGAAAATCTAATTTTTTCTCAATTGTATCATGAAGTCAGCGACAAGCCTGCAAAATATTAGTATTTTATTTTAATTGTGAGAGCCCGCGCATCGACCGCCAAGGGACCCACAGCACACTAGTTGAATAAGACCAATTCTTGTTAAAAATTCTGGGTTCAGTAGAACGGGTTGGTGCATATTATTAGATAATGAATACGTTAACGCAAAAGATAAAGTCAATTATCATTTCTCGCAGCGCTTTAGCTTATCGTTAATCTGAAACTTATCTATTTTCAAGAAAATTTTAATTGTTCCCTTGATAATTGCACTGGCCTATAGTCAAAAGATGTAAAGAACAATATTAATATTGCTGGCGTGCATTTAGATCGCTAATTTCAAATATTCTAATCTTTTTTTAATAGTATCTAGCGAATTTTTGCAAATTTAGGAACAATTTCGATAGCTCTAATAGAATAGCCATTATTGTCCATCATCGCGGAAAAATTTGGTTTATGCAAATGAGTATGGAAACACTGAACAGGCACAACTTCTAGAAACACTAATTAGCTTACTTATGTTTATGCATACAATTTCAAAATTGCAAATGTAGCAAAATGACAAAAAAATTTGTTTACAATGTTTTTTTGTTTTAAAATAATTGGTTTATAATCTAAACGATTTTCACCATATTATTATCATAAATCAGTAGCAGTAAGTCTCGCCTTCAATTTGTTAATTACTAGCAGACCCGGCGAACTTCGTCCCGCCCAAAAGTTTTATATATTTTATTGAAACATTTGCCGCTTTAAATAACCTAAGTGTTATATCCGTTCTTGAAATTCTCCAGTTGTGCGGCATTTCATAGCACGGTTATTCGCAAAGCGAAATAAATCTTTTCCTCTTCACTCCCTGGCGGCAACAATGACCTGGTTCTATAGTGAATGTCCTAGAAGCTTTACAGTATAGTAGGTGGCAATTTCAAAATGGGTGCGAATCATTGTTCTACAGAAATGCAATATACATATATATCCTTATTTCAGACGAAATACCTTAAAAGTTTGAACGCATAATAATATTAGAAAATCACATCCATTGGGCCAATTGCAACGCAGGAGCGTTCGATATACTCAATGGTGCAACAGCTCGATTTAATCTGACCTCCACGGCCCTTTTCTCACTTGGCTATTTTTAGTAATAGCTCGACTTCAGCACCACTTGGCAGTACGGTTTTGCAATAGTATTGCATACATATTTAAAACATTAGCCAAATCGGATCATAAATAATTTTTAGTAATAACTCAACTACAGCGCCAACTGTCGGAAAAAAATTCATTCAAAGATAGCTAAAGGTCGGTACGTTTGTAGGCCTCACACCCCTTTTCAAATAGCCCAAATTTTCTCCATGAGTATGGGCTTGATTTCAACTATATACATATCTCCATACGAAGTTCTAGTACTGTACCATGAATACTTTCAGAGATATGCAGTATAAAAATTCGATTTATATGGGAGGTGCCACGCCCCCCTTTCCAACAGCTGCCCTCTTTCTTCATAAGTATGCGATTGATTTCCATACCAAGTTCCAGGCAGTATGAAAAATTCGGTTTGTATGGAAGATGCCACGCCGCCTTTTCCAATAGTTCCAATTTTTCTCCAAGAGTATGCGATTTATTTCGTACATCTCCATACAAAACTCTAGAACTCTATCAAAAAATTTCCAGAGATAAGCAGTATGAAAAGTTCGGTTTGTATGGGATATGTCACACCCCTTTTTACAATAGCTAAAATTTTTCTCCAAGGGTATGTGATTGATTTCGTATATCTCCATACCAATTTCCAAAACTCTACCATGCACACTTTCAGAGATATGTAGCATGAGAAATTCGGTTTGTATGGG